ATCAAGGACGGAGTATACAGCAAGCTGGTTCGAATCGCGGAAGGCGCAAGCCATTAAATGGAGACCACTAAATGCAGATCAGTTATTACCAGATATATTATCGGCCGCGGACCAGTAGCGTCATTGGCCGCAATAGGTCAGGTGAGTTTTTGTTTAATGTCGCGACCAGGGAAAAATGCCGGCCGGGGTAATAACGAAAGTGATCCAACCATAGAGGTTCGGGCGTGGACGTTCCGGACCGTTTCTCTGTTCGGTGTGTTGTCGCTCTCAATCCTTGCAAGTTCATTAAGTGGAGGGGGACTGACTGGAGCAAAGTGCGAGAATAAGAACAACGGGTTTTCGAACGATGCATTAGTGCGGAAGGTATTAAAATATGACCCAGTCCGAGCCACGGCGTTGGACCAAGTTGGTCGTGCTCATCTTTTTATTCCCTAAGTCGAGAATTTCATCTTTCTAGAAACGCTTCTTTGGTTTTAAAAGGGGATGTTGCATGCTCGACAGGTGCAGAAGTGTTCTGGACGCCGAAAAAATAAATTAGCTCTTAACTCTGTGCTTTGAGCCAGAGACTATTCACTGTAAATACGCATCCGTTGGATCCCTGGTTCAAAAACCGCTACCGGTCTGACATCGGCTTGTGGGCTTAGTGGGGTACAGGGGTAAACGTCCATGCAAATTGTCAACAAAAAGCTACCGACGGGCCCAGTCAGAAGCCTGTCCCGTCACGCGTCTAAGTGTTGGTGTCTAAGTGTTGGTGTCTAAGCTGTGTTCTTGATCGCCCCCGGTTGGCTTGCACCATTGAAATCCATGGAGGATGTGGGCTTACAAGGGGGTGAAATATTTATGCAGAGGCAAGCTGGAAGAGCTCAAGGACGGGGAAGTACCCAAGGTATGTTCTATAATTGACCACTCTTTCGCTACCGAAGTTGTTTTAGTATGATAGCAACGGCAAGCCGATATCAATTACCTATTTTCAAGATCGTTGGGACCGGCTGCTTAAGACGTTAACTATTATATCGAACCTGCTGGCAGGCGGATCAATAGGACTATTTGCCTGGCACTTGTCCGAGTTAGTGAATGCCCTGGTCGACTCCGAAGGGAATTGGAAGATTTGGATTGTTTACATGGCATTAGATTGTGTTCTACTTGGTGTGTTGTTGACTCTCGGTACATTTTTCGCTGAGTGGTCTGCTGAAAGACAGTTGTTGAAGATCAGGCAGAGATTTCTGAAAGAGGTCATGCGTCAGGACATCTCATATTTTGATGGCTACGATGCCACTGCTCTGGCTTCCAAGTTGATGATGAATACTCGGCTAGTCCGAGACCTCATTGGCATTCGCACATCAATGGCTTACATGTACATCGGCGTGATTGCCGCATTGCTTGAAGTTGCTTTTCAAAACCAGGCCGGTGTTGCCGGAGTGTCTTTGTGCGTGCTTCCCGTTATTGTCCTCTCAGGGTGGTGGGCAGGCAGAATCGAGTACAAAGCGACACTCAAGGTGAAGGAATCAAATGAAACCGCCAACAGTGTAGCACTCGAGGCCATTACCAACATGAGGACTGTGAAAGCCTTCAACATGCAGGACACCATGAAGGCGAGGTATGGCGTCTGTGCAGACACTGCGGAAACCGAAGTGAACAACGCCTCTGTCAAGACCGGGTTCGGCTACGGCATCTACTGGCTCTGCATTTTCTGTGCCAGCGCTTTTGGGTACTGGTACGGCTCGCATGTGCTGTACGAAGCGTCTATGAAGTTTTGTGAGGATATTGAAATTTGTGGGGAACCCGGTTCAATAATTGGCGCGTACATATCGGTGATTTGGGCTGCGTTTTACATTGGCAAGGTTATTCCCTGGATCTCAGACGTGCAGCAAGGAAACTTGGCTGTTCGGGAGACGGTTGCACTCTACGACCGGCGGAGTCTGGTAGACCCGTATAACCCCGACGGCATTACCGACTTGTCGAACGTCCAGGGGGAAATAAAGCTGGAGAACGTCGCCTTCGCCTATCCGACGCGCTCCGACGTACCGGTGTTCTCGCGGCTGAACCTCACGATACCCGCGGGGAAAAGTATAGCGCTAGTTGGAGCCTCTGGCTGCGGCAAGTCCACCGTGATTCAGCTCGTCATGAGGTTCTACGATCCGCAGTCCGGGTTGGTAATGCTTGACGGTCGCCCGCTTACTGAGTACAATGTGAAAGCGCTGAGGGAAACCATTGCCTGGGTTGGTCAGGAGCCGAAGTTATTCGCGTCGTCCATCGCCGAGAATATCGCGATTGGGAAACCTGATGCGACTCGCGAAGAGATTGAGGAAGTCGCGAGAAAAGCCAATGCGCACGAGTTCATCTCGGCCCTCCCGGATGGGTACGATACGTGGGTCGGTGATGGTGGCAACCAGCTGTCAGGTGGTCAGAAACAGCGGGTGGCCATCGCTAGAGCCTTGATTAAGAGACCCAAAATCCTCATCTTGGACGAGGCTACAAGTGCTCTGGATAACAAGTCGGAGCAGATGGTCCAGGAAACGCTCGACGACATTGTTGGCAAGTCCCAGATTACGACTATCATCATTGCACACAGGCTGACGACCGTCCGCAATGCAGATGTCATTGCCGTGCTGAACAACCCCACGGACAGGCACAGCAACTCCGGTGATGGTGGCGAGGAGGTGCTGGAAGAGATGACTGGGAGCTCTGTGGTGGAACTGGGGACCCATGAAGAGCTTAGCAAAATACCGGATGGCATTTATGCCGCCTTGGTCGCTATCCAAACAGA